GTCTTCCACAGTGGCCGTACTGTGTGCATTCCCACTGGCAATGTATGAGGGTTCTAATTTCTCCACATCCTTGTTAACACTTGTTAATCTCTGTCTTGTTGATTATAGCCACCTCAGTGGGTGTGAAATGATATCTCATTGTGGTTTTGAATCTCATTTCCGTGCTGGCTAATGACGTTGAGCCGTGTTCCATGTGCGTATTGGCCGTTTGTGTATCTTTGGAGAAAGACATTGGGTTTTGATCCTGGCTCCACCACTTAGCAAATGCACGACTTTGGGCAATAGCATAACGTCTCTGGCCTCAGTATCCCCATTTCTAAAATGGGGCTAATAAGCTCCTGTGGTTATTCTGAAGACTGAATGATTGTAGAGCATCTGGCACATAGCAGGTAAATGCTTAATAGATTCACTTGAGTCCCTCGGCCTGACTCCCTGTCTCTGTCCTTGGCAGCCTGGTAACTGCCCAGCGAGCCCTTCTCCCAAGGCATGAGGATGTGGCCAGACATCCCAAATTCACCCGCAACCGTGTATTCTCTGATCCTATGATTCTCTGATAGAACTCTGGTTTTGGAATCCTTCCTCAGTCCTGTTTGAATATTTTTAACTTTAATAACAAAAGCAACCTAAGGCCTTGCTCCGACCCCCTTGCTGACCCTCTCACCCTATCCAGCCAGTTGGAGGTGGCAAGAGCCCCAGACTGCGCCATCTCAGCTGGCCCCTGGCCCTCACTCAGCACCCAGAATGCAAATGCTGTTCGGCTGGGAGCAGAAACCCATCGTCTGCCCCTCACGTAGTTATCCAGACTGATTGTCCAAGGGAAAAAAACATGACATTTGGCTGAGTCATTGTTTACCTTAAAGTTCTAAACAGGAAAATCTAAATATTGACCAGAAGTGAAACCAAGTATGGTGCTGGCAATTGCCGTTTTTTAAGCGGATGGGGCTCTGCGGCAGCCTTCAGACGATCAGCAGGATTTTCAAATCCTTCCTGAGTGATTATTTATACAGGGAGTCCTTAGAGGTTGAGGAAATGAAAGACAGCTCATTATTTTTCTCCTGCGATAGAGATGTGAATGGTTTTTGCACAAAACTAACCAAGCCCAACCCAGGATCCAAGGCCCCATCAGAACATCCAAGGGGCCCCAGGTTCATGCTTCTTCCTTTGAATTTTCCGAGCCCAGTTTTCTTATCTGAAAATTGAGGATAAAAAATGTTATCCAGCCCTTAGAGTGTTTATTGGGATTAAATAAAAAAAATCATGTTAAATGCTTAGCACAGTTTCTGATACCAAATAGGTAGTCCAGAAACATTAGCTTTTGTTAGTACTGGTTAAGTAGCCCTTATCTGAATGCTTGGGACCAGAAGTGTTTCGGATCTCACATTTTTTCAGATCTTGAAATATCTGCATTATACTTACCAGTTGAGCACCCATAACCCGAAAATCCAAAATCCAAGATGCTACAATGACCATTTCCTTTGAGCATCATGTCGGCTCTCAAAAAGGTTTGGATTTGAAACACTTTGGATTTCAGATTTTCAAATTAGGGATATTCATATTATTTTCCAAGTGGATAGCAATGTAGTTATTTGAAGCTGTGAGCCTACCCGTCTTTTCTCCTCCAGGCTAGTCATTGCAGTTCCTCCAGCCCTTCCTCCCAGCCCTTATGCAGGGCTTCCAGAGATACACAGGGCCCCCTCTGGGTGAATACAGTCCTGTGGGCACAGGGCTTGGTAATTGGATGGTACCTCTGTGAATAGAACAAAGCTTCCCTCCCGGTGGCAGCTGCAGCCTTGCATCAGGGAACAAGGCTTAGGGTGTAGAATGGTGATGAATTTCAGTCCTCATGTGCCCTTGCGCAGTGCACAAGCTGTACGACCTTATACAGCGCTCCAGTTCTCCCTGCCCTGAGCCCTCCTCGGAGCCCACTCTCATAGATTCACATATGTCTTAAAACGTGAGTCTCAGGTAGCATGGAGTAATGAGGCACACCCCTGCCCTCCTGTATTCCATGCCTAGGAATATTTCTAGAAGTGGTGAAGGAATTGGAAGGCTGAAGGAGACAGAACCTGTGTTCTGGGGCCCAAACCAGTTCAGTACCTGGAAGAGGACCTGTCATGTAAGAGATGTTCCGTACATAGTGTTAAAAGGAATAATGGAAGTTTAGCTCCACCAGCACTGACAGAGGCTGAGGGCTGGGATCCGCCCTCTGAAGCCTGCCGGTGCTGAATGCACGTGATTCCAGGGAGGCGTGAGCTGCCTCTAGTCCTCCCAAGGCAGGAGCAGAAGCACAGAGTGGCAAGTATCTGCCGCCCTCCTTCCATGGAGTCAGGCGTTGCCTTCCTCTTCTCATGATTCTCACAGCTCTTCTTCATTGTCACTTACACTCCATTGTGGGATTCAAAGGAGAGGAATAGTTGTGTGACCTTGGCCCGACCAGCATTAGAACCCACCCCATGGTTCTCATCTATAAATTGGGGGTTGTGATAATGCCTACTTTAAGAAGTTCTGGTGAATATTAAACAAGATGATCAATTAAACAGGCTTAGCAAAGGGTCTGGAACACAGGAAGTACTCAATGAATAGTAGTATCATTATATATTATGGCTAATTTTTATCTCTCTGTCTGTTTTCCCAGCTGGACAGTGATCTCCTGAGGGTCAGTGTGTTAACAATTTCTGAATTCCTCGTTTCCAGAACAGCACATGTTGAGTGGATCAATGGATGGTGGATGGATGGGTGATTCTAACCAACCTTCCCATTCATCTCACCATTGCTAGATGGCATGAGTAGCTTTCTTGCCTCATGTCTAAAGAATAGAGAAAGTAAGAAAGCCAAGACCTTATTCTTCTAAACCCTAGTGTGGTCCATGGACCAGCAGCACTGGCATCACCTGGGAGCTTGTTAGCAAGGCAGAATCTCAGGCCCCAGCCCAGACGTGACGAATCAGAACCTATTAACACAATGCCTGGGTGATTCCCATGCACGTGGAAGTTTGCAGAGCACTGGATAAAACCAGTGGTTCTTAATGTTGCCTACGTATGGGAATCTCCTAGAGAATGTAAACAATAAAGGACTGCTGCCTGGGTCCCACCCTCCAAAATTCCAAAGTTACTGACTTAGGGTGGGCATTTGGTTTTGTAAAAGCTTCCTTGGCAAGTCTAACATGTGGCCAGGGCTGAAAATCACTGGTCTGCCCAACCTCAGGCCCTGGGATGTCTTTTGCCCTGGGAGCCTCTGAGAAATGACACCCCACACTCTGGGAAGAAGTTTTATTGCATTGTCATTATGGTGGGACGCAGGGCTGGAAGTGAGTGTCCCAGAAGGAGGCAGGCACAGCTGCGACGGAGCCAGACAGGTCTAAATCACAGGGCCACTTTCATCTCTCCTTGAGAGCCAGGGAACAGGTGGTTCTCCCAGGGCAAAGATGGATTGGTCTCATCACAGCCACAGTTTGAGACGTCGCCTTCTTGCAGCCTGGCTTGGCGTCCGGGAGGAAATGACCCTACAAAGTCCTTGCTTTTCTCACCTTTTCCCTTCCAGGAGCTCTTGGGACTTACCTGTGGGTAATGCTTGTCTACTCGAGTTGCCTGAGTACACACCACAGTGTTTCTCTGTGAGAAAATATCTCCTTCAAATGGAACAATAATTGGCTTGATTCCCAAGGTCACCACTTAAACTTACTACCAGAGTGATACTGGGAGGGGCCTTTAACCTTTCTCAGCCTTGGCTTCCTCATCCATAAAATGGGGAGAATAATTTTTACTTATGAGGATTTCTTCAGTACAGTGTCCAGCAACAGAATAAGTAATTGATAAGAAGTAGTCATCGCTCAAAATTTTAACCCATCTGTCTCTCCCTTCGCAGCCTGTGGGCCACCTGACAGCAGGCAGGTTCCTTTCATATTGGTGTCTTTCTCCCCACTACATAATGCCTCGCATAGTGCCTAGCAACTAATAGATGCTTAAAGAATGTCGCTCTTTTTTGTTTTTAAAATTTAGAATATTAATTTACAACAAATTTAATTTTAAAGAATAATATACACATATTTATTTAAATAGAAACATGAAAGCTTTCCCTCCATATTCCCCTACCTAGAGCCTTGTGAGAAGCAGCCACTACTAAGAGTTTGGAATTTATCCTTCCTGACCATATGTGGCACATTTGTAACCACGCAGAGACATGATGCTGACATGCATTTGCACACATGTCCCATGTTTGGTGGCTGACACCTGGATTCTGGAGCCAGACTGTTGATATTTACCAACTGTGTGATCTTGGACAAGTTTAGGTGACCTCTGCATGCCTTAGTTTCCCCATCTACAATATCAGTGAGCTAAGAGTTGTAAAATTTTTAGAATAATACTTGGGACGTGGTAAGCTCTATGTCAGTTGGTTAAATAAAAAACAAATATTGTTCTGAGACTTACTTTTCTCACTTAACTCTATATTTTATAGAGCTTTTCACGCCAAGACATAGTGATCTCTCTAATAATTTTTAATAGCTTCGTAGAATTACTTTTGGTGAATATACCTTAATTTATTTAACCATTTCCCAGTTGATGGACATTTAAGATGGTTCCATCTCTTTAACTATTAGACACAATTTATAAGTATTATAAATGCATCTTTGCATACTTCTGGGAATATTTCTGTAGAACAGATTCCCAGAAGTAGAGTTACTGGTCACAGGATATGTGCATTTAAAATTGTGATAGATGTTGTGAAAATTGCCTCCCAAAAAAGTTGTGCTGATTTACTTTCAATGTGGATGTATTAAAGTGACCGTTTCTCCCACACTATTGCCTACATTGGGAATTATTTTATTTTTTTCCGTTCAAGAAAAAAAATGCTTGCTATGCTAAGTGGTAAATCCATGTATAAATGAACAACATGAGCTGACCCGTGAGCGGCGGAGCCCACGCCCCATCCCTCCCCACACCCGGCCCCAGCACAGTCTCTGCCCCTGGCCACGAGCTCACTGCCCTCCCGTCTGCCCACAGCCTGATGGAGTGTGCTGGGGAGCACCCGACCATTGCCAAGTCAGTGGAGAACTTCGTGAACCTGGTCAAAGGCCTCCTGGAGAAGCTTCTGGATTACCGGGGCGTGATGACCGACGAGAGCAAAGACAACCGCATGAGCTGCACTGTGAACCTGCTGGTGTGTCGGGCTGGCAGGGCCTCCCCCACGTCCGAGTCTGACTAGAGTCCCGAGGGACGGGCTTAGCTTTGGGTCTCACGATCACTCTTGATAGGGAAGCAGCACTAAGGGCTTTGGAAATCAGACAAACGAACCCCTAGCTCTGTGTCTTGAGGCCAGTTGCTTCACCTTTCTGTGCCTCAGTTTCCTTACCTGTGAAGTGGGACCAATGAGTATTCCCCTTAGTACTTAACACGGCTCACAGAAGGGAGATGGCAGTGTAGACTGCTTAAGAGTATGTGCTTTAGAGTCATGCAGCCCCTGGATTTTCATCCTTCCTCTGGTAATTAATAGGCTAGAGAAGTCAAGGAAGTGCTCTGAAGTCTTAGTTTGCTTGTCTGTTACATGGAGAAAATAATAGTTCTTATTTCATTAGGTTGTGTTGTCCTGGCCCAACGTTAGATGCTCAAAGCGTGTTAGTTTCCTTCTTCTTTAGAGTGGAGTAACACAAATAATTAGAACACCTATCACTGCGGACCAGGTTAGCCAGAGCAGCTAATCCCAAACCCAAGTCCCAACCCCTGTATCACACGCGTCCCCACTGGCCAGCTCCCAGACAGCCTGTGTCGTGTTTTGTGGTTTGGTCAGGAGACAGATAGTGCAGCCATATTGCTTCATGCCCACGTGTCAATCCACCTTAAAATGGTTTAAAGGAATCAAGTTGACCAAAAGACCATGTAGCATTCATCACATCAACCCCCCGCCATTCCCAAGGCTCCAGAAATACAAACTCTGTCCCTTCAGTTCTGTTGTGTGGCCCGTCCTTACCCAAAGTGGACTCCTTTTAACAGCCTAGATATTGCCATTGATTTTCCGGAATGCCAAAGGGAGTTAAAAATCCTGATTACAGCAGGAAGGAATTCACTGCTAATGACTCCACCAGGCCCAATTTACATAAAGAGCATGAAGAGGGGTTTTGCAGGAATTTAGCAGCTTCTCTCTAAGGAGAGACAGAGTTGGTTGAAGAAATTGACCTTTAACAGCCAGACTAGGACCAGGTAGGAAGCTGGGGACAGACAGTTCTCTAAGCAGTCAGACCCCGCTGGTTTTTGGTGCGTGACTTTCAGGTAGTGTCAGGGAGGAGGGCAGGATGGCATGGGGAGGGAGGTGCTGTCAGGAGAGGCAGTGTTTGATATGATCTGCCACCCTGGACTGTGTGCCCTGGAATGTGTCACCTCCCCTCTCTGAGCCTCAGGTGCACGTGGGGACACTGGATTAAACTCGGGTTTGCTCCTGGTGTGGCTCCTGGATTGGATCAGGACCTCCTGGTTCAGAATCTGTAAGGACTTGTTTAGAAATGCCACAGGGGCTGCCAGGCACAGTGGCTCATGGTAGCATCCCAGTACTTTGGGAGGCTGAGGTGGGAGGATCATTTAAGGCCAAAAGTTTGAGACCAGTCTGGGCAACATAGCGAGACCCTGTCTTTACAAAAAATGAAAATTAAAAAAATTAGCTGGGCATGGTGACACACACCTATAGTCCCAGCTACTCAGGCGGCTGAGGAAGGAGGATCACTGCTTGAGCCCAAGAGTTCGAGGCTGCAGTGAGCTATGACGGTGCCATTGCACCCCAGCCTGGGTGACAGAGCAGGACCCCATCTCAAAAACATTAGAAACTAAATTAAATTAAAATGCCACAGGCTCAGGATCTCTGGTGGTGAAATCCAGGACGACCCCTAGTCTAAATGGCCCCTGAACTGGAGTGGGAACGTGGCTTCCTAGGTATTGCCAAATTTGAGTGTTTTGGCTGTGGAATGCGTCATCACTCCTGAGAGTTCTGCACTGTGGGAGTTTTGATCTGTTACTATTACTGGGATGCTATTACTCACTTTCCAACTCAGGTTCTTACAATGACAAGGCCTGAGCGTTTAAACATAAAGTGGGGCTGCCTTTCAAAGTGGACTTCGTCAGAGTAGACTGCCCAGTCTTAGCAACCTGCCTCCTACAGCTGCAGATAACTAAACTGCACCTCCTGATACGCGATGGCTGAGACATCTACTCTGTCCCTTTATCGTCTAAGGGTCAGGGAAGTGACTTTCAAAGCAGAATCTCCCAATTAGGCTGTTTGATGCATCCAGGAAAATAGATTTCTTGCTCCCACCTCAGGATGTCTAGATAGTAAACAACAGTCTCCCTCTCAACTCCATAACTATACCCTTGAACTCTGTGGCTCTGCAAAGAAAAACACTCATCACTGTTTTTCCTCCCCTACCTAGAATTTCTACAAAGATAACAACAGGGAGGAGATGTACATAAGGTAAGATTTTTGTTTTCTAAAACCCAGACCTGCTCTGTCACTGCCCCTGCTCAATATCCATCGACAGCTCCCTGCCACCTTCAGGATGAAATCTGAACTTCTCCCCTTGACACGCAGGCCCTCTGTATTCTGATTCCTGTGAATTCCTCCAGACTCAACTCCTTTCATTTTCCTTCAATCAGCCCCATAAAACCACTTGGAATTCTCTGACTGGCCATACTGTCTTACTATATCCTCGGATTATATTTTCCTTAAGAGTAGTTACTTGTGGGTTGAGCCGTGGGTTGCATTTGCATTTGTCGTGGGACTGGCAGGTGAAGCCCTAGCCCAGGCATGTAGTGAGACCATTGACTAGTGCAGATTTGAAGGGAAAAAAATACCCAGGTGCCTGATGTCTGCTTCCTTGAAGGCATTTAATAGATATTTATTTGAATATATCATGAAGGGTTTTTTTGGAACATTAGCCTGGAGCAAAGAACTCCTTTGCCAAATTTTCTCAGAATCTCATGTTTTCTCTGCAAAGTTTCTTTTTTATTATTGTTATTTTTACTCATTACAAAAAAAATACATACTTATTACCAAAACAAACAAAAAACTCATAAAATACAGACAAGCAACACAAAAATGAAATAAATCCCCATAATCCATACATATTTCCAGACCTATTCATATTTTTATATATATTGAATTCCATGCATGCATATTTTTGCAGAAATCGAATTATAGCACTCATAAATTATTCTTTTTTTTACTTGACAAGAATTCCTTGTCAACATCATTTTTAATGAAACTATAAAATTTCTCTTTCAGAATGTACCATAATTTACATAGCCAATCCTAAATTGTTGAACATTTAGGTTGTTTCCAACTCTTTTCTACAATAAATAGCATAAAAACAAAATTCATGGATATATACCTTTGCACACATCCTTATGAGGCTAGAGCCTCAGAGGTGGAATTAGCTGGAAGATAAAGGAACTAGGTAGGTATTTACGAGGCTTTAGGCATGTGCTGTCAGAGGGCAGGGACTTCAAGTCTAAACTCTCTGTGCTATTACTGCAGATATTTTCAGGTACTTAGTTTAGCATTACTCCAGAAATAGGAACTATCATTTGGGAAACAAAAATAACGCCATAGTTTGTCCTGAGCTTTGGGTATTTATAACATCATTAGGCGTGACACTCTTGTAGCAGCACAAAGCTCTGGGGTCTGAAGGACTTCGGGTCTTCACCTTGTTTACTCTGTGGCCCTGGATAAATTATTCAGTCCTTATGGATTGAGGTTCTCCAATCTGTAGAATGTCTCTGCCTACCTTCTGTTTTGAGTATTAAATGAGATACTATGAGAAATATGCCTGGCACATGGTTTCCTCCCTCTAACCTCGTTTCTCTCCTTCTCAGTTTAGAAACACAGATGGCGAATCCCAGGCCTCCACCAGCTTTGGAGATTTGAGGTCTATAGTAATCTAGGAAAACCATATTTGTCTCAACCAGACTGCAAACAGGGTACAGTCTGAAAATCTGTTCTGTTTGGCAAGCAGAGTATTTTAAAACATTTTTTTAACTGGTTGCCAACATTTAAAAATCTAGAGATTTTTACATAAAAAATATCAAAATTTCCTTCTCCTGAAAAACTCAGGAGGTGTGACAACACTGGGCCCTCATCCTGATCTGACAATCGCCACCTCAACTGAGTAGTGGCCGCCCTTTTAGACGAGACTGGAGCCCTGTAATCACATCATCTCTATTCCCCATTGTACCTCACCCCATCCACATCACGCAAGCATCTGGCATCTGGAGGTGTCTGAGTTTGGTATCCCTGGTTGAGCTCATTGGAGTGGTCATCAGACCCTTGAGTTAACAAAGGAGAGGGAACCTTGGCCGATGAGGGAGTTGAAAGGAGCATGGATGCTCTCCCTTGGGCGCTCTGCCCAGGTGTCTTGGACCCAGCCATCTAGGGGTCTAAGGGACAAAGGATGGCAGGAGGAGATACGTCAGGATCAAGTCACGGATGCACACACACGTTTCTGAATTCCAGACTCTTCACTGCTCACTCTGATCGGCAGAGCATTAGTGGGGAGGAGAGTGGAAAGGCCAAGCCTGTGGGAGCAGAAATAGCTGGGCTTGAAATCTGCTTCTACCTATTTCTGGCTCTATTTTAACCTAGATGTCAGTTTTCTCATCTTAAAAGCATTGCAGGAAGGATGGATTGATAAAACACATGATAATAAAGCACCCTTTGAATAAATGAATGAATGAATGAATGAACAAATCTTCCTGCCTGGGATGCTCCCCCATCATCCCTTTCCCCTTCAGATCCCAGCTCACCTATCACACTATGGGAACCTTTCTGGAAGGGCCTCCTCTGCCCACCTGGATACAGCCTGCTCTCCTAGTACCACAGACCGTTCCTTCACCTTTATCACAACTGTGTTTGTGCAGTTATTTACTTGGTTATTTGATTCACATCTGTCGCTTCTCCTAGACTCTAAATCCCAAACCCTGACAGTGGTGTGAACTTTTGTCACCATTTATCTCTAATGCCTGGCACTTCTTGGTGCTCAGTACAACCTTGCTGAATGAATAAGCGAATGAGCAAAAGGTTACTAGGCATCCTAGCGCACTGGCTGTCCAATAACTGCTAGGTGACCTTTCTTCTCCTCAAAGCCTTTGGCAGTCCTCACCCTGAGTTCAGGCAGCCTACATTTGGCCCACTGGCCTGTCTTCTGTGGCGGGGGACACTGAATGTTAGCTTCACCTTTGGTGAGTTCCATGCAAAAAGTCTTTCTTCTAAAAAGAGCCTAAGCCTGGGCACTGAGATGTGCATTGAGCGCGGGTGCCTAAGAAGCCCTGTGTTCCCCAGGGTGACACAGTGATCAGGGCAGAGTCCCGGCAGCATGGCGGACAGTGGCTCTCCTCTCAGAGGCACTCACCATCTTGCCTTCACCAAATCACTGAGAGCTGGGTTTAAATCAATGTTTCTAGTGATACGCAAGTCACCAAAGCAGTGGTTCTTTGGCTCTGGATTTTGTTTCCAGCAGTGGCAGGAGGGGATGTTCTGTAGAAGAACTTAGTTCACAATGCTAATAGATGACAGCTGCCGTTGCTCAGTGCTGGCCTCGGGCTGGTCACTTTCCGTGCATACTCGCATTCCTTTGCAGCAATACTAGCTGTCACTTATTGAGCCTTTTATGTGTCACACATGGTCTTCTTGGCCTTTATATGCCCAGTAACTTTTTAGGGTAGGTTCTGTGAGTGTTGCCATTTTTCAGAGGAGTGAACTAAGGCACGGAAAAGTTAATTCACTGCTGCTTAATACCTGTTGTGGATCAATTATCTAAGAATTTCCTAAAGCTTGCTTCCTTTATTCTTGTTCCTGTCCTCAATACCCCTCAACTATATTGTCATCTCAGGGTTCATAACTTTGCAAAAGGACAGGAAGTTAGAAGGTGATTGCTGTTGAATAGCTGATTCTTCCTACTGACAGCTCCAGGCCTCCATATGAATATTCATTCTCTAACCCCCCATCCACTTCCTTTTGTTACCAGAAAATGCACCTATGTTACACCCAGAGAACACAGAAGGGAGGGGTGGGAGCTGTCCTTGACAGTTGGTGTGGCTTATTCATACTCCTGCAGTTATACAGTGATTAAGGCTGGGGACCATGGCCCAGCTCTTCCATTTATTAGCATATAACTTCTGATAAGTTATCTCTCCTTCCTTTATTTCTCATGCTTGTCATATTGCATTGGCCAGTATCAAGTTGAATACTGGCCAGGGTGGCACCTAACTTCTCCAGGCCATAGTTTTATCACCTAAAAATGAGGATCCCTCATGGACCCATCTCAATGGTTGCCATAAATACCCGAAGGCATTTGAAATACTTGGCATAGTACCTGGAGTGTAGTAAGTGCCCAACAAACACTAGTTATTGTCATTGTCACCCACTCAAAGGAGGGCTGGCTATCCAGGGTAGATGACTCCCTTGTGACACGGAGATGAGCCTGGTTGTTTTGTCTGGCTCCTACCTGGCCCTCTAAGATGCCTCCTTATCACCGCACCTGCTAATTCAGCATATTTTCCTCCAAACAGATACCTGTACAAACTCCGTGATCTGCACCTGGACTGTGACAATTACACAGAGGCCGCCTACACACTCCTTCTGCACACCTGGCTGCTCAAGGTACTGTCCCTCTGGGTGAGGGGGATTCATGCTGGGATCCCCATGCAGCCCTAACAGCAAGTTGAAGAATTAAAAAAAAAGAGAGAGAGAGAAATAGAAAAAATAATAAGCCAAGTAAATTTTTTTTGCTCTATGTCCCCAAACTGTTGACCTGGCAAGATACTTTTCTGCCCTTCTTCACCTGGTCACTTAAGATTTTGAGTGACCTTCACATTTAGCACCAATAATAACCCCCCAAGACATATTTTGCAGTTTTATATACCATCTAAAATGTTATCAACTACAAATCATTAGCATGCCCACAGAGCTGCCTTCCTTCTCCTGAAAACTTTGCTGTAGCTGGACAAAATCGGAATGATTTCCTTTGCCTTTTGAAGAGCTGGGAGGGTGTCTCATAGGGGTTCAGAGTAAATCCCTATAAACCACACACTGAGAGCCAATAAAGAGTCGAGTAAGTGCAACTCAGCAAAAATCAGGAGGCACTTCACAAGTGGAAACTGCAGGCCAGCATCTCGCTCACTGAGCACGGACGTGCAGGGCGGCGGGGAAGCCAGCAAAGGGCGTTCGCAGGGCTTCATCGACTCCTCATCAGTGTGGCTCTGACAGCTCACATTTCCTCATTTGTCTGTTTGGGACGTCAGTGCTGCCTGGAGGGCAACCTCCAAACATCTGGGGTACTCATGGACCAAGAGGGCAGCCTCCCCAGTGGTTCCCTGAGTTTCCAGAAATGAGCTCAATTTGGGAGAGGAGGAGAGAAAGAAAGGACAGGATCTGGGGAGGCAAGTCTCTGCCTTTAATCCTGGGAAGACGCCTGTCCTTGGCAGCCTCTGGGCCCCGCGTGACTTCCCGTGTCTTCTCTTCGCAGTGGTCAGATGAGCAGTGCGCGTCACAGGTCATGCAGACAGGCCAGCAGCACCCCCAGACCCACCGGCAGCTGAAGGAGACACTGTATGAGACCATCATAGGCTACTTTGACAAAGGAAAGGTAATTTGTCCCTGCCCCTACCCTCTCTCTGGGGACCCTGGCTATGGAAGGATGGTTCTCTCCCATACCTTACATCCAGTCCATGCTCAGCTCTGGCCAGCTACCCTTCCAAGTCCTAAATCTGATCACTTCTCTCCATCTCCTCTCTATCTTCATTCTTACAGCTTCCATTCATGGCATCAGTGTCGCTCACCTGGGCACTGCTGCAGATCCTGAGCAGCTTCCCTGTTTCCTCTATTTCCCCCAGCAGATCAGGCTCCATAGAGGAAACAGGGTGACCAGAAAACATATATTGGGCCATGTTCCCCTGCTTATAGTCATCTCAATGGCTCCCCCATTCTACTTAGAATAAATTACATAGCCCTTCCCATGGCTCGTGAGGCCCCACATGAGCTGTGCCCTGTCAGGTTCCCCCTTGCTCACGTGCTCTATGCCAAGCTCTTTTCAACCTCAGGGCCTTTGCACCTGCTTTTCCCAGCTTGAAGCATTCCTCCTCCATAGCCGAGAAGGCTGGACTCCTCTCACTGCGCAGGGCTTTGCTTGGATGTCAGGCCCTAAGGAGGCCCTGGCCACCACCAGACAAAGCAGCAGCACCCCTGCCCCGAGTCACCCTTGTTGCTTCTTCAAAGCACTTGTCACCATAAGACATCATCTTGTTCATTTCATTTTTACTTTTTATTGTGTGACTCCCCACTTTAGAATGCCAATGAGAGCAGGGACTTGCCTTATCCTCTGCTGAATGCCCAGTGGCTAGAACAGAGCCTGGCATGCAGGCCCCATAAATATGTGCAGGGTAAATGAATCAATTGAATGGATGAATGACAATGTGATGCCATCATCGATCTTCAAACAGCAAAGGTGCTTGGTTAGGTTTGGTAGGAGATTGGACAGACCAGCTGTTGCCCAGCTCCAGCCTCCAGTGGACCTTCAGGAAGCACCAATCTAAATGCTGCCATTCATCCTATAGGAAACAGGGCATGTTGGCCACATGCCCAGGCGCTGGAGCCAGATGGCCTGGGGCGCCATCCTGGCTCCTCTACCACCCACACTTCCCTTGACTTAAAGACTCCAGTTCCCCACCCATAACTAACAGTACCTACTTTCTGGTTGGCCTGTGAAAATTAGGTGAGAAAACGCATAGGAACTAGTACATAATAAGACCTTGTTAAATGTTAATTCTCATCATTATTATCCTCCTCCGCCACTTCCTCCATCAAACCTTTCTTGAGTCCTGCGGCTTACCTGCCCCCTCCTCTGAATTGCACGGCCTCCTACAGCTCATCAGGACATAATAGAGCACTTAATTTTGGTCTGTCCTGTCACTGCAGTTCATTACATCCGTCTTAGTCTGATCTCTCCACCTTCCCTGGAAAGATAAAATGAGATAATGTCTGTGGCAGGGCTTATAAATTCCCGAGAGTCAAGCAGGCAGAGAACACTGTTTTTATAATTTACGATTATAAGCCTCTTGAGAGCAGAGACCCTGCCGTCCCTCGCACCTTCTGCCCTGCTGGGCGTCGAGTTGGAGCCTGCTGTTTGTGGGCCCGCTGATGAAGCCAGTTGCAGTGTGAGAGCCCTGAAAGCATGTGTTGAGCTTTGTGTTCTGCAAGGTATTCAGTTCCGTCCACGCTGTACCGAGCGGAGAGGAGAAAGACGTGATCACGACCTCAAGGAGCGTACCCGTCTAGTTGGCAAAACAGATGTGCCCATACTTACCTTTTCTGAACATTGCCCTTTGATATTGTGCAATAACGAGGAAGAGGGCAAGGGAATGGGGTGGCGCCAAAGTATTTTGGGAGCAGAGAGGAAGGAGCAGATGGGTACGGCTCACCCCAAAAGCCACCACTGTGGAAGCTTCTAGAATGAAGCCCAAACTCTTTAGCACCCCCTTCAGCTTTCCTTCTCCACACCTCCTCAGGGAGACTCATTGCCGCAGACACACAGGATGGCTTTCCAGTCCGTAAGCCCATCTTGTCATCGCCTGATGGACGCCTCTACATTCCTCAAAACCCAACCGTCTCATCTACTGATGCGTGTGCTTTGCCACTTACGTTCCATGAGAGCAGAGACTGTGTCTTGTCCATCTTCATATCTGCTCTGTCACTGCACAGCACACCACACCCAGAACCCAGCAGGCGCTCAGTAATGAACGTTCGAGACTCAGATCAGTGACTGTCAGAGGTCCCGGTGGCCACACCGCAGACCTGGGAGGAAATCCCAGGCACCTGACTTCCTGCCCAGCCCCTTCTGTGGTCTCTTAGTGATCTCTTAACACATGGGGAGAACGTTTCCTCTCCCTGTTTGTATTACGGTGGGGAGCAGGAAAGACTTCTACTTGAGCCACACCGGCCCTGACCTAGCCCAGGGGCATCGCCACGACCCTCATGTTCAGGGTGAAGAGAAGGCCCCAGCCCAGCCCAGCTCGGTTCCTCCTCCCAGCACATAAAGCATTTTTATGCTGCTCGCTAAGCTGTCCATGGGTTTACAGCCACGGCTTCTCCACTCGGCACTTGGTTTTATTTATTTTTATGCTTGGATGCAGAGAGAGCACTTTTGCTACAAAGCTCGCGCTGCAGTTTGGCAATCTCCCTTCCCTCCTCCTCCCACCTCCCCCAGCTTCTCCATTTAGATGCATTTTCCATTTTAAACCAGAGGTGAGATGTAAAGGGTATCCCTTGAGGCTGCCAGATCTGGGGTCCGCCCCGCGTCTCCCCGGCCTCTCTGTAGAGGTCTCTGACCCCTCAGGTCTAAGATGATGGATGATCTATTGGCTTCTGGCCTAGGACAGAGCAGAGAAAAAGTAACTCTTAGGTCCATGGTTTGTTTAGTTTGTTTTTTCAGATTTTTGTCTTTTAAAATGGAGAAGACCTACTAAAAAAGTTGTAATTATTTTTCTAAACTGCAGTACCATCCCTACTGCCAGCTCTGTGCTGCCCCCTCCTCACCAAATCACCTCACTAAGACGAGGTTCAGCAGAGGGGCGATCCCAGGACCGAACATCAGGAGAACTGGGGTCTGGCCCAACTTGGTCCCTAAAACTCTCTGACCTGGGGCTACCGTTCACTTCTCTGTGAACCATCACTCCTTGGAAGTTGGGCCAGCACCTCCCCAGGGAAGCTGAGGGAGTCAGAGGTTTCATTCACTAACCACATAGGGAGCAGGGAAGGAAGATCAGGCTACAGAGACACACGGGTTTGCAGCCTGGCCCTGCTTTTTGTTGGGCATTTGACCTGGGGAGGTTGCTGGGCCTCTCTGCACTCCCGGTGCTCACCGGGGAAATGAACATGATGTTAGTTACGTCTCGGAGTGGCTGTGAAGAATCAGAGAGCATGCAGCTAAAATATTTAGCCTAGTCTGTGCCTTCTCTATTATTTATCAAGAATACTAGGTGAGAGGCCAGAGGAAGGTCATCCCTCCGAGAAGTCCCCAGCTCCCTCTGTGTGGGGGATGGTATGGGGCAGAGTGAGCTTTGTGGCTCAGTCCCAGGGAGCACGGCCAGATCTGTGTCGCTTCCGCGGCAAGGGCTCTGCAAACCTGGAGGTGCCTCCTAACTTTTGTCCCTGTGACCTTCCTGCAGATGTGGGAAGAGGCCATCAGCCTGTGCAAGGAGCTGGCGGAGCAGTACGAGATGGAGGTCTTTGACTACGAGCTGCTCAGCCAGAACCTGGTAAGGCACCCTCAGGGAGGCTGACTGTAGGGTGCTCAGGGCCTTGGCCGCCCCTGAGAGCCTGGGGAAGGGGAACAGGGTCAGACGGGGTTAGGGAAATGGAAAAAGAACGGAAGCAGGACCTGCGCGAGGCTGTGGAATATTTGTGGGAAAACTCACCTGTGACGGTTCCTCAGTGGAGCGTCGGGTACCTGCGTGTGCTGGGCTGCCGCTGCTGCTGCACACCCGACACACGCTGTGCTGCACTTGCAGTAGAAGTTCCACAAATCACCAAACCAATTAAATAAAAACACAAATTTGTGCTTTCTGATTAACACATAAATCACATTAAAATGCTCCCCATCTGGCTATTCCCATTAGCATCTCCATGCTCGTGATTTGGTGGGGGAAGTGCAACGTGGGGGAAGCCGGCCTGTTTCTGCCAGTGCTGCAGAAGCCAGGCCTGGGCGGGGAGCTGAACCCCACAGGGAAATGCAGAACTCCAGGTGCTTCCCTCCCCTTCCCCACGCCCCCATATATTTCCTGGCTGCCAGAGCGCCAGGACCCCAGGACCCCTTCTTAGCCCATTTAGAGAGACTGGTCCGGCCATTTCCAGGGAACTATAAAATGAGAATCAGAATGTTAGAAGCCAGTCGATAGCTTTTTTTGGGAGGGGGGAAGGTATGGTGATCTTGTTAAAAACAACTGAGCCGTTAGCTGCTTTTACTGTGTGTAAGATATGATGCAAATACACATAGACACGCCCTTGCACCAAGAGACACTTGATATCTGCCCCACATGTATACCCACATAGATATTTGCCAACGTGGAGGCACACATGCCTTCCACATGTGTGCATTCATGCACACATACACACATGCCCACGACACATTCATGCATACCCTTATGTGTGAGCTCATGCCTGCACGGAGTTCACGTCCTACAGGCACCTGTCTAGGTCCACATGTGTCTTCCATATTGTACCAAATTGAAGATGCCATCGACCGTGAGATGTGCCATTCCTTTTCATGTGCCATGTCATGATTTCTTTAGGGCCAACCACAATTGTAAGATGCCATCAGGTGTAAAGTAAGATTCAAACTGTTTTCAGAGATGTTAAAATATGAAAAACACACACCTCTCAGAATTGATGAGATATATTAGGTATGCATACACAGGAAAACATCTATATCCAGAGACGCTCGTCCATCTGTGTCCTCACAAACACGTGCACAAGTGTGCACGGAGGAGGGAGCAGAGTGGCAGTGATGGAGACACTGCCTGACCGGGCTCAGCTCCACACTTACAGGCTGCACTATGAGATTCTATTTCTTTGTCTGCAAAGTGGAGATACTTGTGGGATTGTTATGAGGACAATGCAGGTGAGTGTGCTAGTGCGGGTGGCGTGATTCACACGGGACTCAGGATACTGTAAATACGGCCGTCACCATCGGGACTATAGACATAGCCACAGATACCCAAATATGTGCACTTGGCCCATTGGTTCTGATATAATGATAACGTCTTCACTGTGGCCTCTCCGAGTCAAATGTGCTTTTGATACACATCTGTGTTGTTATAAGCTGTGTTTTCTTCTTTTAGATCCAACAGGCAAAATTCTATGAAAACATCATGAAAATCCTCAGGCCCAAACCAGACTACTTTGCTGTCGGATACTATGGCCAGGGATTCCCCTCCTTTCTGCGGGTGAGTTTGTGGGTGACTAGGGCCCCAGGGCCTTGGCATCTCAGCTACCCCTCTGTGCTTCGAGGATCTGCTTGTGCTCAGAAGCTGTGCCCTCCCCTGTCTGAGCGCTGCCCCCACCCCTAGTAGACTCCCTAATCAATCTCTCCCCCACCATAATCACCAGTTTCTGTCGTCTGCTGTGCTTCTCTAACGACACAGCAATTAGAGCTGCCTCGTGAGGTAGTGAGCTCCCCGTCACTGGAATGAGGTGTTCAAAGAGAGGTTGTATGATGTTTGCTACCCAGGAGTCACTGCAGAGCAGTTGTTCTCAGAACTTTTGGTTTCAGGACCTTTTTTCTCTCTTCAAAATTAGTGAGGACCCCAAAGAACTTCTGTATTTGTAAATTGTATCTGTATTTTCCATAGGAAAAATTAAAGCTAAGAAAAATTTTTAATATTTTTCCATTTTTAAAACAATAATAATAAACCCATCCCATGTTAACACAAACTGCATTCTTAGGAAAAAATAGCTCTATTTTCTGATAAAAACTTAGTGAAAAGGGTGAGACTGTTTTACATTTCTGCAAATCTCTTTAGTGTCTGACTTAGGAGAAGACAGCGAGGTTCTCATGTCTGTTCTGCAGTCTGTTGTGATCACACATCACAGAAAGCCCCATTGCACGCCCTGAGACAGTGACAGTGAAAAAGGTGAATGACAGCTTTCGTGTCACTGTGAAAACAGTTTTGATCCCGTGGGCTTCTGGGAGGGGCTCGGGGACCCTCAGGGGTTCCCAGAGGCTCCGCACAGTTTCTGAGCCACTGCTTTAGTGACTTGCACATGCATCGGTGGAGAGCTGGATTCGGTCACCTGTAGGCTTCCTTCGGTCTGTGAGTCTAAGGTGAGGAAGACACAAAAGCAGTAGCAAATCTGATCTTTGACCTCGCTCGATTTGCAGTCTAGTCAAGCAGATGCATCACTCACCGTTACCAGTCAATGTGGAGGTCAGGGTGGGCTAGTGGGTGTGCTCGCCGTGAGCAGACAGGGTAGACGGTGAGGGTTTCCTGGGTGTGGTAGAGGTGGCTTCCCCAACCTGGCTGCCCCTCAGAATCCCCTGAGGAGCTTGGTAAATACGTGTCCCTGGGCCTACTCCCTTACAGCCATTCCAGCAGGTCTGGATTGAGGCCTGGGAGTCTGAACTTTAAAAGTCTCCCAGGCTCCTCTGACCATCTGCCAGGTTTGGAAGCGCAGATATATAGAGCTGAGTAACAGACTTGGGTTTGGACAGAAGGACGCTGGGGCCATTTGAGGCAGTGCAGGTGGCACAAATGTGGTCTACAACAGGGTTTCTCAGCCTCTGCACTGTGGACGTTTTGGGCCTGATGATTCTTCATCGCGGAGGCCGTGCTGCGTGTTGTAGGACGTTCAGCAGCATCCCTGGCCTCCACCTGCTGGGTTCCAGTAGCGCCCCCAACCCCATTCGTGACAGCTAAAAAACGTTTCTAGACATTGCTTTTGTCCCTTGGGGGGCAAAATGACCCGCAGTGCAGAACTACTGGTCTACTCGAGGCTACCATGGTTGGGAGGGGCGAGAGTGTGTTTCCACGGTCCCAGAGCCAGGTGAGGAAGGCGCGGCATGCCAAGCCCTTCCAGCCCACAGGCCCAGCCCACACGGCCTGTTACAGGCAGGAGGGAATTCTGTGGCTATGTAAATAGAAGAGAGGGTGTGACACAGTGAAATGTGGGTGAGGAATTAATCTGGAAGGCGTACCTAGGATGGTAAGGCAAGAAAGTTCTCAACATCCACAATCTTCCCTCCCTCTAGACTCAGACTCTTCCTTTAAAGCAGCGATGTGCCCAGCTAGGAGGTCAGTGAGTTGAGCTTCTCCTCCCTGCTGGTAGGGAAACCAAGAGAAGAGGGGTTCGCTGGGGGACCCCCAGCCCCACGCTCATCTCATAAGCTCCCAGCTGCGCTTGGGCCACGTCCTTTATGCCTGGGCCCCGAACCTCTGATAGGTGTCATCTCTCTGCAGAACAAAGTGTTCATCTACCGAGGGAAGGAGTATGAGCGGAGAGAAGATTTCCAGATGCAGCTGATGAGCCAGTTCCCCAATGCAGAGAAGATGAACACAACCTCTGCCCCTGGCGATGCTGTGAAGAATGCCCCAGGCCAGTGTATCCTTGGAGAATGCCCCAGCCAAGGGCCAGCCCTGGGCAGTCCTGCCGGGGTTTTAGCCCACAAAGACCCATCTTAGAGCTCAGAGCTGCTGCCAGAATCATTGCAGTGGTGCCACTTTTAGTGTCCAGCGTGGAATTCGAAGAACCCATCTCAGTGCATTCTAAATGTTGCACACATTGAAGAATTCAGTCTCTCACTCATGCATTCATTTGTGCAATGAACGCTCTCAAGGCCTGACTCCACGCCAGGCATTGTGCAAAGCACTGGAGATTTACACTCGTGAAGTGGTCCTACCTTCAGGGAGCTCACAGTGTAGCAAGCAAAAGACACACTGCACAACTAATTGGATCATTGCATATCTATTTATAAAAATAGGATCCATGCCGGGAGGAAGCCATACAGGGATACTGAGGTTGAGAGGGCAGAGAAGGCTTCCTTGAGGAAGGTGACGTTTGAGGTCATAACCAGCCAAGGCTTAGTGGGAGGTGGAGAGGGTATCCCAGAGGAAGGACGCCTGTGTGCCAAGGCCTGTCATGGGAGCGATCGTAGCAGGTTCCAAGAACTGAGATGGCACCACACTGCTGGTATAATAAGATCAAACTCCTGAGTGAGGCCTGCAAGTCTGTCCGTGGTCTAACCCCTGTCCACCTGTCCAACGTCATTGCCCCAACTCTTCCTTCTCTTTCTCGTGTCTCGCTGACCACACTGGCCTTGTTTCTGTTCTGTAAACACGCCCAGCTTGTGTCCACCTTTGGGCCTTCATAGTCTATGTTCCCTCTGCCTGGGATGCCCTTCCTGCATCCTGAGACGGCTGGCTCTTTTGCCCGTCACATCCTTGCTCAGTGCTACCTCCTGCAAGAGGCCTTCCGTGGCCTTTATAATGTCTAACGTGGCCTTTTCTGGACTCTTCATGACCCTGTTATCTAAAACCCTGTTTGTTTTCTTTAGAGAATTGATCTCCATTTGTCATTGTCTTTTGTGCTTGTTAAAGGCGCGGGAATGGGAGCTAGGACGTCCGCTCCGCGAGGGAAGACACTTGCTCTGCAGTGTTCCCTGCAGTGATACCCCCCACCCGTCTCCCACAGCGCTTGGTTCAAAGTGACGCTCAGTAAATATTTGTTGATTGATAGAAAGAAAAAGAAAACAAGCCAGAAAAAGAAGGAACAAAGAAAGAGAGATAGATAAATAGAGAAAGGAAGGGAGGAGGGTGGCAGAAAGGAACCAGCTTACTTAGGGGTCACAGAGCACTACTGTGGTCACACAAGATAACGCCAGTGAGGTTGGGTGGGGTGTCGTGCTGATGGACACCGATGCAGCAACATGTGGTGTTCTGGGGCCAGGAGCTGGCGCGGGGCAGCAGGCAGGACGCGCTGTGGCCAGGAGCACGTGGAAATGCAAGGCGAGGCCGTCTGCTGAGCCGAGGAGAGCGGTCACCCAGTCTGGCTCCCTGCATTGCCCCGTTAGCACAAATTAAGTTACAGCTGTTAAAACGGGGTTGACAGGTTGCATGGCTGGCCTGCGAAGTCTGCTGAACCTTAATCCAAGTGTTTTTCGCTGGGGTGATAAATATGCACCTGTGCCCTTTTCATCGTGCTTGCCTGCCCTTCACGCCTCCTCCGCTGCGGTTATGAGCAGGAGCAAATGCAACTGGTGGTGGGCTTGGCTGCTTACAAACCTGAGTTTGGTTACAGGTGAGATTAGTACGAGACGAGTACCAAGGCCCTTTGAAGTGGACGTCCTGGTGTTGAACAGCTCCGTGGCCTTTTAACTTGTGGTGAGGGAGGGGACATGTGTGACTGGGCCGTATTGCCCTATTTAGGCCTCTTTTCTTTCCTTCAAGAACCAGATGCAAGAGAAAAGGGGAAGGGCTGACATTTGCTAAATGTCCTATTCGTGGGACTGAGACCATTATTTCCTCAAACCCCGTAAAACCCTGTAAGGGGGTGTTCATTTTCCCTGTTGCGTAGAGTAGGAATATGGGGGGCAGAGATGTAAAGTGGTTCACCTAAGGTTACAAAGCTAATTAGTGATAGAGTTAGTGCTCGAACCCCAAGATCTGTCTGTGTCCAAACCTGTGTTCTAGCACACCGTCGTCGTTCCTAAAGGCTGATGAACAGAATGCTCTTTATTAACCGTTTACCATGTACTAGGCATTTTACATGCCTTGTTTCATTTTGTCCTCATAATAATCCTACAAGTTGGATATTATTGCTCTCTGCATTTTGCCAACAAAACTAAGGTTCAAAGAATTTAAGCAGCTTGCACACAGTCACAGCTAGGAAATGGTGGAACTGGGATTTGAACTCAGGCCTGCTTTTTGCCAAAATCTTGAGTTCTTAATACTCTGTTCTCTTGCCTTTACTTATTAAAAGGCTGTCAAGCAGTTTGGGCAGCTGACAGATCTTATGTCTTCTTGGGTATCCAAATAGGGCAAGACAATTAAAAGCAAAGGTCTCTTTGTAGGGAGTCTATCGTCACCCAGACATCCGTAGCCACAATTCCATGCATAGACTCAGCACGTGGTGTGAGAGTCTAGCCAGGCATCCTGCTGGGCACGACTTGAGAGTACTGGTGTCACCAGCTTCCCCAGGACAGGTTTGGAGTCTCCTCTGGGACCAAAGCCAATGGTCATGACCTTGGCCTTCAATCAGTAGACATGACCTAGAACTTCCTCCAGAACAAGGATTAGCAAACTTTTCTGTTAGGGACCAGATAGGAAATATTTTAATCTTTGTGGGCCACGTGGTCTCTGTCACAAGTACTCGACTCTGCTTTGGTAGTGGGAGAGCAGCCACTGATGCCACATAAGTGCATGGGCATGGCTTTGCTTTATGGGCACTGAAATTTGAACTTTATATCATTTTCATATGTCACAAAATACTATTTTTCTCCTAACCATTTGAATATATGAAAACTATTCTTAGCTTGTGGGCAACGCAAAAACAGGCAGTGAGCCAGATATGACCTGAGGGTCATAGTTTGCCAACTCCTGCCCTAGACTTAATCCAGAATGATCTTCCCAGAGTAGGCTGCTGGCCATGTGGCTTGAGAAAGAAAAGGGTTTTCCTGACGATCATAGAAACACTTCCATTGGGATTTACCCCAAAACAATGAAATCCCTAATACCTTAGCAGAGAGAAGGTTGATTAGAGAGAGAAGGAATTAAATTTAATTTGGGATTAGGTTTTGGCCATTTCTTATATGTGAAGGAACTATAGCCTCTGCCATGGGAAAGCTCACGATCTGGGCGGGGGTGGGTCAAGGGGAGGGCAGGGGAGGGAGAGAGATGACAGGGAGCTGGAGAGCTGACCCGGAGAGAAGCCGACAAAGTGCTGTGGGGGCCAAAGGAAGGAAAACAACTCCTGTTGGGGGTGAAGGTAGTTTTTATGGACTGTGGTACTTGACATCTACCCAAAGGGTTCACAAGGGAGAGATGGTGGTGAGGGAAATGTTCCAAGCAAAGGGAGTAGTAGGATCTGTTGGATATCCAGAGATAATTAATGGTGGGAAAGTGGCTTATAACCGTATCAGCCCGGCTTTGAAAGCCAGCAAGAGGAGTTCTTGATTCCTTAGTCTGCAGATGTGTCATGCCCAGGAGATGATTTTTTGGAGTTATGGGGGTGGTCATCAGGCAGAATAGAGGGAGGAAAGAACTTGAATACCTAAATGAGAGATATGGGTAAAGAAGAAATGGAAGGTAGGGAAAGGGAAGCAGGGGTCAGGGGTAGGACCAGTGACCACTGACTTTGTTCATTTGGTTTGCCATATTGTCTGCTTAATGAATGAATGAATGCATAAAGACAGGTCTAGAAGAGGCATGACAAGGGTCTGGCCCACACAGTGCCTCTCCACTATCTGTGCCCATGGCAGCCATCACTAATTGATCACAGAGCTCTTTCCCACTGAGCCTGGATGTGGCTCCTTACAATCCTGCTGCAGCAGATGATTTTAAACTTTTGTTAGAGTCGGAGTGCAAAATGGCATTTATTTACATGTTACAAAGTGGTGTTTCTCCAACGTCAGCCTGCATGTGAATCACCCGAGGGTCTGACTCAGCAGCTCTCAGGTGATGCTGGTCAGAGGACCACCTCTTAGTGGAGAGTCTAGAGTAAAAGAATTCTGAGCTTAGGGTTAAAAGAACTAAATACAAACCCCAATCTGTTCTTATAAGCTGTGTGACCTTCAACAGGTTGCCTCACTTTTCTGACCTCCATGGGGACAATTTAGATTAATAATGCCACTCAGTGAAAATGGAGAGATTAAATCAGGCCACGGGGAGATGTGTTCTGCAATGGATTGAGAGCTATAAATTTATTAGATGGTATCATTACTGATGATAATATAGCAATGAGAATGGTAATTAAGAGCCACCACTAGCCAACTACGTTAACAGGAGCTGAGCCCTGGAATAGAGTTGCAGGTGACAGACAGCTCTGACAAGGACCTTGGTGACTGCACACCACTGGTCATTAGTACCTAGTCGGCAGCCAGCAAACTGAGCTTGATCGTGCAATAAAAAGAAGGGCTGGCCTGGAAGGTCTCAGCTGGGACCTGCTAGGCGTGGAGCTGTCCCTGCAGCCAACGGATGTGTTCTAAGTCCTTAACTTCAGGGATTGCAGACATCCAGTGTTTCACTGTCCAGCCAGTCTTGGATGAACACCCCAGGTTGAAGAATAAGCCGGTGCCTGACCAGATTATAAAGTAAGACCCATAGCACACTGGGAAGACAAGTTAGGAAGAAAACCATTCCTCTGGTCTCAGGACAGCCCCAGTGCCCTCTAGTCCCCTCTCTATCTCAGCCAGTTTGTCCCCCCTTTACCTCTTGGGAGAAGAATCACCCCCAATTAGGTAGGCGCTACCCCTGGCAAGGCTGAAGCAGAGATGGGTGGGAGGGACAGGTTCTGGCTTGGCTGCAGCACAGCGAATGCTCCAGCAGTGTCCAGGGGAGTCACTGAACTGGATGAGGAGAGCTCAGGTTGATCCCGGAGTGTCCCCGAGGAACCTGCAGCCAGAGGGTGTGGCTGGGCAGGTGACAGACAGAGTGGGGACGGGGGGGCCTTGGTCATGCTGAGCATGTGCTCCCAAAGAAACATCTTTTCAGCAGTTGTGAAGGTTGTACGTTGACAGTGCGTGTGTTCGGGCTCTGATGAAGGGACATTGAGGAAGCAGAGTGAAGGCAGGTGTCCATCTGTTCTATATCAGCTCGCGAGGTCACTGGTGAGGCCACAAGGTGGGGACTCTGGGGGACACAGGCTGCATCCCTCCCAGCTGCCCAGTCCACCCTCCAATGCCCCTGTACTCCATAGAGCACCTTAAGTGTCTTAGAATAAGTCCACGCCTCTGGGTGGAGCAGTCAGAAGAAGGGGGAGGAATGGCCTTTTCCTTCGGGAGAGGCAGCCGCTCCCAGCAGCCTCACACCAGTGCCACGGGCGAGCAGGTCTAGTTCCACTTGGGTCGCAGCCTCCCCTCACCATCTGGGTCGGGCACCATGGGCAGGGGACGACAACTAAGCAGCTAGCACAGCGTCTGCCGGCCCCGATGTTAGAACCTCGCTAGGGATTCTGGAAGACTGATTTGGGGGGATGGCTGTGACAACTAAAGAAATCCTTTGAGGACACCCCTGGGACATTAGGCTCAGACGTGAGGTCTGTTTAGCTCCTTTGTTGGAGTCACAGGAAATGATGACCTAGGCTATCCTATCTGCATTAATGCTCAAATTCCAGTTGCTTAGATACTTCAGGGATGCTATGTTCTTGTGAGGGTGTAAGTCCAGTCTACCTTCTAAATTGCCTTGCTAGGAAAGCCTGTGCAAGAGTCACTCTTATGGAGCCTAGAACATAGATCCTGATTTTAAATGCTACCCCAAGGACTCTGCCAGACCTCCAGTTTACTGTAATGAGCCTCCCTGGACAGTGCAGGGTCAGGTCGGATGTCAGCAGCCAGGCACAGCTACCAGGAGCCTCCGCCTATTCTTGTCTTTCAGCTTTTACAAATCCAACCACGTGCAAAGATTCCACTACTCCCGGCCTGTGCGCAGGGGGACCGTAGACCCCGAGAATGAGTTTGCTGTGAGTATCTCCCCTACCCTTGTTCATTCCCCTGGGCCACCTTGAGCAACCAGAGGGTGCATCTGCCAGCCCCAGAGTGGGAAGGAATTTGATTGAAAGCCAAAGAACATAAAACTAACCCATGGATACAGTGACACCTATTTCATAGTCTCTTCCACTGGGTTTGTTTTCTCATTTCTTAAGCCTTTTCTCTTTTAAGATGGAACCTGGGCCTCGTGTCAGATACATCTTTTTCACCACAGGGCACGCAGGCCTTTCCAGCAGGTAGAAACGCTCAGGCTAAGAAGGGGGTGTTGAAGTCGATCCTTCCAGCAGACACCAATAAGAAGCCACAGCAACTCAGTCATCACTGTCCCCTGAGGGCTCATCCCCTATGTGTGTGTTTCCCAGTAGGACCTGTCTTCTATTCCCAAGGGCCAAGGCTGGAATGAGGACATGGCTCCATGTCCCTCTCAGTCTTTATTCTTAATATTTTGGGGGTCACTGCCCCTTTGAGAATCTAATGAACAACATGGACCCTACCCCTAGAAAATGCAAAAGGACACATTCAATGTTGCCTAAAAATTCAGACTGTTAATAAACCCAGGTTAAAATGTACTTGGCCTAAGTCCGAGGAGAGCTTAAACTTCATGTTGGGAAAGAATCTTAAGGGTGAGGTGAGAGTGTGTTGCTGGGTCTTACAATATTTATTCTGCTTTCGGCGGATGAAAGGCCTGGGGGCCTGGCTGGGTTTCTGCCAAGCTTCTCTGGTACCCAGCTTTCATAAGTGTGTTGCTTTCCCGCCCTTGCCCCCGCTGCCCACGGACAGTCGATGTGGATTGAGAGAACCTCCTTCATGACTGCGTACAAGCTTCCGGGGATCCTGCGCTGGTTCGAGGTGGTGCACATGTCCCAGGTGAGTCTGGGAAATTCGTGGCAGGCCTCTCTGCCTCTGATGGGCAGGGCACAGCCGGCCTCGGGAGGCCACTTTACAAAGGGGACATGTTTTTATTTGAAGCTACTGTGGGAGTCCCAGAACTCCAGTGCAGGAAGAGATCCAAGGCAGCATCCAATGTAGCCACTTTCAGATTTTTTTTAAGCATCAGATAACTTTTCTATTCCCTGCAAATGAAACTTTCCATCCAGTAAAAAAGCTGATGAATGGGGAGCCTCTATAGCGGGGGTGGGCATGGCAGAGGGCCTGGAACTGCATCTACTCGATCACCCCTCATACTCCTTCCATCCCAGTAACCCCTTGGGGAGCACCTGTGCAGTATCCCACTATGAATCTATTTTATAGTTGGATAAACTGAGGCTCAGGGAGGAGAAATCACACAGAGCCAGAGTTTTGGCTAGAATCCCAATGTTTGAACTCCCTTGTGCAGATGGTTACTTTGCTTCTCAGCATACCTGAAGGTCTCTGTGTGCTCAAGACAGCAAAGGATCTTGTAGTTCCCAAGATACAAGGGAAGGGCCAGCATGGTTGTGGGGAAAGTTTATAAATGAGGACATATTCAGGCTGTCTTATTTATTTATTCATTCAAAAAATATTTAATGAATACCTAATGCATGTCAGGCACTATTCTAAGAATGGGAGTTTCTGCAGTGGAGCTCACATTCTAGTGGGAGAGACAGACTATACAGTCAAAGTAAATAATAATATGCCAGATGGTGATAACCATAATAGAGAAAATAAAACAGAAAGGTGGTAGATGAGGATTGATATTTTAAATAGGGTGGTCAGGGAAAGCTTTCCCACAAAATGGCTTTTGAGTAAAGGCCTGGAGGAAGTGAGGAAGGGGTCCATGCAGGCATCGAAGAGAGGGACCTTCCATCAGAGGGAACAGAAAGTGCAAAGGCCCTGGGGCCAGAACATGCTTATGTCCAGATCCAAAGAAGTGAAGGTGAGTAGTCTGATACCACATCACATAGGACCTAATAGACCACCATACGGACTTTGGCTTTTCCACTGAGTGAGACAGGGCCATGAGAAGAGAAGGGATGTTGTCTGACTCACTTTTTCAAGCTACTGTGTAATCAGCATTGAGACCATCTCACTCCAGCCCTCAATGCCCCCCTCATTTTCAGAGAATTCAGTAGCTCAGTAGCACTCCTTTTCATAGGCATTGCCTAGACCTTGGAAAAACATAACAATGGTGATGACAGCAACAAGCATTGTTTTGAGTGTGGGCTAAACTGTTCACATGTATGGTCTCCTTTAAACCCCTTAATGACCCTGTGAGGTAGATCTTACTATTCTCCTTATTTTACAGATGAGGGAACTGGGGTAGAGAGTGAATTAGTGGGTTGTTCAAGGTTAGTAAAAGAGATAGGGTTTGGCTTTAACCTTCCATATCAGGCACCTGGCCTGGACACATTCTCTTCTTCATCAGAGTGTCCCCAGCCCACCCCAGCAAGTAGTACCCTGGAAAGGAAGAAAGTATCTGTGCCCTTGGTGTATGGGACATGCTGGCGCATGAAAAATTTTAACGAGTGTCCCAGGCACTGGGTCAAAGGCTTTATAGCATTATCCCAGTTATTCTCACAAAATCCTGTAGGTACGTTAATTTCAAGGTTTTCAAGGTAAGGAGTCAGAAACTTTCTATCGATCTGTAGCCTCTGCCCCCAGCCCTGGCTGAGCCCCGTCCCCTGGTCGTGCTCAGCAAGGCGCCTCTTCTCCTTCAGCCATTCCTGCTAAACTGTCCTACTATATTTCTCCTCAAATCTCTTATTATCTCTTGGTAGACTACATAATTTTCCTATTTGTCTATTCTTAATATTAATTAATAGAATAGTAAATATAATTGTTGGACCATAAGCTACACTAGAATATAAATTCCAAAAAGACAGAGATTTTTGTCTATTTTATTCCTGCCATTCCTCCAAGTGCTAAGAATAGTCCTAGACCCATAATAGATGTTAATGAAAAATACATAAGTAAATCAATCAATCAATATGCAGCCACCCATAATGTCTGAACTGGTCACCTTATTTTATGAACTCACAATTCTGAAGTTAGGAAAGAAATAGTCAACATTTTTTACTTGTTCCTTCACCCTGATACCTTCGATAGAAGGGTTGGGAAATCATTCAAAATGTTAACCAGAGTGAATTTATCTTTGATAGCTTCCCTCACATGAGTTACCAAGAATTTCAGGATGTCTCAGACACGAAAGTTTAATGCCCTGCTACATGACTCGATTTCCAAGCATTTGTGTTTGTGTTCCATGAATTTACATCTCATTCTCAGTTATTTCTTTCATAAATTGTCATGACTACAGTATTTTTTGTATAGAGAGGTATTTTCTGATTGGCTGTAAGTGTACGTTCTACTCATTGAGGATTCATTTCTTGTTCTTGGCTCTCAGAAATGTGGTCTTTGCAAGGAGCCACTGATCCAGGGGTCAGAGATCCAGACTCAACATGGTCATCAACAAGCTGTGTGATATGTTGGACAAGCACTGTGTATCTCTGTAAATAATGATTGCAAAACTACGGAATTTCAGGCCGAAAGGGATCCTAGGGGTCTTTTAGTCCCAATGCTATAAATTTAAATACCTTCAGAGCCCAGTATGATAAGGTAAAATGTATGAAATAGTCACATCAAGACATCAGGGAGCAGTGGGGGCTGTGGCAAACTTCAGTAGCAGCCCCCTCCCCCACTGAGTTAATTTTTAAAAGTGAGAATCAATGTGCTAGGTAAATGCTAGACCTCTGCAGTCCTCCAGTTTTTGTCTGGTTCTTCTTGGTTCTTGTCCAGCTGTACTATTTTGCATATGAGGAAACTGAGGCCCAGAGATGGGACTTGAACTGCCAAAGCAATCTGAGGCAGAAATCTGAGTAATAACAGCTCCTTTCCTGTGCAGCTCATAGGATTCCTGGGAAGATTTAAGAAGGCAATATGGTGAAATGCCTTTGAAAAATATGAAACTCCACCTAATTGTCAGGGGTTGCGATCACTTCCTCCTTTGTCCGATGCCTCCCCTTGCCCCCAAATGCACACACACTTGTACATTTTTTTCCAAAGCACTTTCCCCTAATAATTCATTTTCCCTTCACAGCAAGCTCAGCAAGGGCTATTATACCTACACTGCCAACTAAGAAACTGAGGCTCAGCTTAGGAAAGAGACCAGAGATTTGAGGGCTTGACTGGGTCCCACCAGCCAGTTAATGGCAAGTTTGGTATCAGGCAAAAACCAGGAATGCTCAAGTTCTCTCTCCAGCTCTGCCACCGTGTGCACAGGGACATGTGACTTAACCTGCTGTTGAAGAATTAAATGAGCACGAGTGTGACATGCCCAGCATGGGCTGGCATGTAGGAGGCAATGGATAAATAGAGTCATCTTCAATATCATGATCATTACTTTTATTCCTGTTACCAGCTTCTGACATCCAAGCCTTCCACCAAATGTATAACCCCATAACCATGCTCTGAGAGGTATATTTTTGGTCTATACAAATGTCCTTAGGTGAGAAGCCAAAGGTATTTTCATTCTCTGTTCCTGACAGCTGTGATGAGGATAAAGATCTGGGAATCCAAAAATAGCTTCAAAAATGAGGAGGAAAGCCAATCAATAGCTCTTTCCATTTTTAATGACTCACCTTAAAGCCTGAGTCTTTCAGATATGCCAGGCTATTGTTGAAATCCAGGGGCAATGCAGGGCTTAGTCCAAGCGGTGGTGATAGATGTTCCTTACAACTCAGCCTAGACTTTGGCCCCTTAAAGCTCCTGCAGGGCTGGTCTGCACACTTGACAGATACTAGATTGTGGGTTTCAGTGTGTAGGATTATGGACTGCAGCCCCTGCCAGGGCAAGCAGCATTCCCCTCCCGTTCACATATGTGTGTACATGTGCATGTATAGGGTGTGTGTGTGTGTACTATGTGTGCATGTGTGTGTCCATGCATGTGTGTGTTTATGTGTGCATATGCAGACTCAATTCTCTGAAACAAATTCAATAAGTATGTTGTGAGTCACATACAACTCAATTCGCATGCAGCGTAAAACTTGATTCTAGTGCCGTATGAGTTGCATATAACTCATACACAGAAAACAATAAAAAATAACAAATTTTCATTAAATTAGAAAGGATCATTTTGTTTACAAAGTTTCTATTCTATTTTCATAATAAAACAGAGTGGCTCCAGGGAAAAAAATTTGTTTTCTACTGTGGCAGTCGATGTGTTAAAATAGCCAGTTATAATTTGATTTATGTAAGCCTCAGGGTGACCACAAAACAAAAGATAAAAAGAAAAGATGCAAAGCATACCACTACAGAAAGCCATCAAACCACAAGAGAAGGAAGTAATAGAGGAGAAAGGAACAAAGAATCTACAAAACAATCAGAAAACAATCAACAAAATGGCACTAGTAAGTCCTTACCTGTCAATAATTACTTTGAATGTAAATGGATTAAATTCTTCAATCAAAAGGCATAAAGTGGCTGAATGGACAAAGAAAAACAAGACTCAACTATATGCTGCCTATTAGACTCATCTCACCTTAAAGGACACTCATAGATTGAAAGTAAAGGAATAAAAAAAGATATTCCATGCAAGTGAAACACAGAGAAGGGATAACTGTATTTACTTCAGACAAAATAGACTTTAGGTAAAAAAAAAAGAAACTGTAAAAAGAGACAAAGAAGGTCATTATATAGTAATAAAAGTGTCAATTCATCAAGAGGATATAACAATTGTAAATATATATGCACCCAACATTGGAGCACCTAAACATACAAAGCAAACATTAAGAGATCAGAAGGGAGACATAGATTGCGACACAATAATAGTAGGGATATCAATACCCTACTTTCAATATTGGAGTGATCAGCCAGCCAGAAAATCAATAAGGGAATGCTGCACTTTGCACTTTAGATCAAATGGGCCTGGCAGACATATACAGGACATTTCACCTAACAGGGACAGAACACACATTCTTCTCAAGTGCACGTGGAACGTTCTCCAGGATAGGTCATATGTTAAGCCACGAAACATGTCTTAACAAATTTAAAAATATTTGCACTCAGTTTTAATTGGTTTCGTTCAGTTCAGGGGTCAACAAACTATGGTTCATGGGCCAAATCTCACCTGCTGTTTATTTCTGTAGAAAGTTTTATTGGAACAACCATGCTCATTCATTTACATATTGCCTGTAGCTGCTTTTGCTCTACAATAACAGAGTTGAGTAGTTGCAACAGAGACCATCTGGCCTACAAATCCTAAAATATTTACTATCTGGCCCTTTTACAGAAAATGTTTTCTGACCTCTAGTTCAGGTTTTTACTCCCAAGCTCATTCTCTTGCAAACTATACTGTTTGGCCAGTTAGCATCTGATGGCACTCTGTATTGCTTTCTAAGAGGTGTTGAAGAGGTATTTAGTTTTATCTTCCCAACTAAACCGAGTCTGCCTTAGAACAGCAACCCCTCTAACAACAACCAGTCTTAGATCTACTGTGTGCCGGGCTTGGGGCTTTCATTGCAAGCTGCTCTGATCTCTCCAGCTAATTAATAGCTCCGACATAGTAACTGCTCAACCAGTACCTGCAGGATTGAGTTGGAGCATGTTTCACCCAGGTAATAAGAAGGGAAAATCCTCTCTTGGGCAGACTCAGCCTCTGAAACCTCAGCAAGTGCCTGACACTTTCTGCCTCTGCCCTCCCAGAGGAATGTTTTTCTTGCTAAGCAGAAAGTCAGCCCTTCTCTCCCCAGACAACAGACAGCCCCCAAAGCTCACTAATTATAACAAAATCCTTTTACAGCTCCCCAGGGAGCATGGCCTCATTTGAATTTCCACCCCAAGTGAAATCAATGCTAATAATTATATCTGTCTTTAAAGCAACTTGCTAAGGCCCTTTCTTCTTGGGGATCTTGTTTTCTACAGACCACAATCAGTCCTCTGGAGAATGCCATCGAAACCATGTCCACCGCCAACGAGAAGATCTTGATGATGATCAACCAGTACCAGAGCGACGAGAGCCTCCCCATCAACCCGCTGTCCATGCTCCTGAACGGCATTGTGGACCCTGCCGTCATGGGAGGCTTTGCCAAGTATGAGAAGGTGAGGGCTTCCTCGCTCCAGGCCTGGTAGGGGGCAGAGCAGTGGAGGGAGGGCCCGGGAGCAGACACAGCTACATGTTGCTGGTCCTACTGTGGCTGTCCTTGTCCCCCAAAGGGACACTCAGCTTGGTTGGACCTCATTTAGCTCCCAGCATTTCTTTTTTTTTTTAATTTTTTTTTTATTTCAGCATATTATGGGGGTACAGATGTTTAGGTTACGTATGTTGCTCTTGTCCCCCCTCCCCCCCTAAGTCCGAGTTTCAAATATGTCCATTCTTCGGGTGGTGCGCATTGCACTCTTTGTGTATGCAAATACCCGTCCCCTCCTCCCTCCTCCCCCCTCCCCGCTCCCCCCGCCCAACATCCAATAGATGTTATTCTTATACGTGCACTTATGTGTTGATCAGTTAACACCAATTTGATGGTGAGCTTCCAGCATTTCTTCAGCCACTTGTCTTGGCTGAGCTGCCATCTCCTTCCGCCCTCGTCACCACGCCCTGTGCTAGGACAGGCAGGGGCAAGGCTCATACGGGGCCCACAGCCCACCGGGCAGATCCAGCAGCTCTGCGAAGGAAAGGCTCTGAGGAGACTGTGAGCCAGACCATAAAAGGACAGGGACCACGAATCGAAGTACATGCCACTTGGATAAACCCATCCCTTCCACAAAGGATTTGAAATGATGTATACAAATGGAAAGAAATGAAACTCAGAACATGTGAAAAGACAGACCAGGAGATCACTGTAATCTACATATCCAGGTCAGAATGGCCCTCCAGAAAACCCCACATATCTGAGCCACGGATTTCATTTTTGAGCTTGCTGGTATCCATGGCAAAAAGAGAAATAGCATCAGTTATGTGGGGCGGCAGGGGGAATACCAGTTTCTTAGTAGGGAGACATGGGTTCCTTGGCACTGAAGAATAGAAAGTCCTTACTTGGGTTTCCCATAGCAGACGTTAAAGAAAAGATGGACTCTCTTTGCAATAAATCTCCTGATGAATTTCCTGCTGCCTTTCCTATGTTATTCGTTGATGTGAACCCAAGAACACAACACCGTGGTATTGTGATCGCGGAGTCAGTCCTTCCGGCTGCCCTCAGACACCCCCGCAGTCACGGCTGGTAGCCTCTTGCTCAGCCCTGAGGCGCGATGAGCTGTGCCTGCACGCGTGTGTGCCCGCCTTGAGGACATGGGCCCCAGAAAAGGATGGGAGCTGCCACATTCACTGGCAGCAAGGGGAGCCCCAAGGGGAGCCGGAACACCCACTGCATGAAACTCCTACTGAGCTCTTGTCCTCAGAGCACCGTTCTCCCACTTGAAGGTGCATCGGAATCACCTGCAGGGTCCCCTACCGGACCCCCAGAGGTTCTGATTCGGTAGGTCTGGGCTGGGGCCAGAGAATTTGCATCTCTAACAAGTTCCCAGGTGATGCTGCTGCAGCTGCTGGCCTGGGGACCCCAATTTGACTACTTTTCTGGACTTTGCAGCCCATTCCTAGTGGGTGCTGATTGGGCCTCCGGGCAGACAACAGCGTCCGTCCCTACAGGTGTCTGACTGTTGTCTCATCCAAATGCCTGTGACCTCATCCCTGCTCCTCTCAAATCAAATCTCCCAGTGCCAAAGAGATTGGTTGTGGGGTCCACGCCAAATGAACGGGGAACCCCAAATTCCTGTCTGTCCTCCCCAGGCCTTCTTCACTGAGGAGTACATCAGGGACCACCCTGAGGACCAGGACAAGCTGAACCGCCTCAAGGACCTGATTGCGTGGCAGGTAAAGCAGAGCTGGACTCCTTCCTGTCCCCTCACCGTGGTTCTCAGGCCCTGAGCTGGGCTCTAGCTGACACGGCCTGATTTCACATGACCTCCTGTCCCTTGCTTTTCTAGCCTCTTCTGATTCTGTGTCACACCTGAGCTTGCTCACCCTGGAACAGAGGTTTGGGGTGGTGCACGGTGCAGGGAAGCCATGCTGTGCTGCATGTTGCTAAGATTGCTTTATTCGATATTGAATTCAGGAGGTGGCTTTTCACAGTGGGACGAAAGTGAACATGAGCCCCCGCACACCCACCAGCACCTTCCGCACACCCAGCACAGGCCAATCAGATAATGGAAGACTTGGGCGCCCACCCCCACCTCTCCTCCTCCTAGGGGTGACCCAGTTTGTTGCAGTAATGCTCCAGAGGATCTCAGGTTTTGAAAATAATTGAGGTCTTTGTTTGGTTGGCTGTGGGTCAAAGGGTCTGCATTGTGCACCAGCTGCTGCTCAGCCAGAGGACGTAGAAGGCACCGCCCTACCCACTGCCCTACGCTCCCGGGCTGGCCACTCATCTTCCTCTCTGTCCGTTCTCTCCTTGCATCCCTCTCCTTCTTTTGGACTCTTTTACTCCTCCTCCTTTCTGTGCATCTGTCTCTGCCTTTCCCCCTCTGTCTTAGAAGCCTTTTGCTGCCACCCTGGGCTCTCTGTCTTTTGCTTCTCCCCGACCCCCTTCTTATTCCTCTCTCAGCTTCTCTTCCTTTTCTCTTTTCCCCTCTCTCCCTCTCCCTGCAGAAGAAACAGTCTACTAGATCCCTCCCATGGAGGCTTTCACAGGACCAGACTTCCCCTCCCAGCCTGGGGCAGCCCCTTCCTCAAACACCACCAGCTCTGGGCTCTCGGCATTACACAGGGGCGGGCTGTGGAGGGCAGGGGTGGGGGGCGAGTGGTGAGCCCAGGGGCAGGGAGCAGAGCTTGCAGCTGCCTTCCTTCCTCCCTTCTTGCCAGTCACTGTGCAAAGAAAAGCAAGCTTTTGTGGCAGGGAGTTTTTGTTACTCTAGGGAAATCAGGGAATGAGAAGCATTGGGTGCAGCCTTTTTTCTTAAAATAAGGATTCCTAATTCAGGTCCTTCTCTGCCTCTGCCAATTTATGCAAAGTGGGGCTTTAAAAATGAAACACCAAGCACTGCACAGACGCACTTTTTCTGAATGCATTTTGTGTGTCTGTCTGGAATTTTCTATCCGTTTATACCTTGTGCCACCTGTGTAACTCAAATATCCCCAAGGTCCCAGCCTTTCAGGGTCATCATGCCCTTTAATATTCCAATAATGATACTCTCCTTCGCCACCTCCAACTTGAGAAGCAGGAAGGCCAGGCTTTGATAGGTTCCCATCCTTGGATATTCCTGGGGTGCCAGGGAAGGCTAACATGTCACATAGATTCGCATAGTTGTTGGGTGTCACTGTCAATCCATACACCGCCCTGGTCCTCTCTACTGGGGACCTCTTCCCACCTGGTAATAGCTTCTCCACACTGTGTCCACCACACCCAGAGAATGGACCTCAGCCTCACAGCACAGCTAATGGCAGGCTGTACCTTCTAAGAAAATTCTATCAATGTCTTAGAGCTAATGAGAGGGACACTACCAACACAGAAGGGAAACTTTGAAAGCAGGTTCCCTATGAAGATGTTACTGCTTCTGAAACCCATTAGCTAGGCACCTTCATACAGCGCCCCTAGCGGCCATCTCCGCACCGCCCACTGCTCCCAGGCCACCATGTTACGAGAGGCCTACTTAGCCCCCAAAGGAGATTGTCCTGGACCACATCCCTCCGACCCAGAGCCCAGTCACCCCAACTGTGGGCACCTGCACTCAAAAGATGTCGCCCTGCTCATGGTGAAGGCAGCCTTTTACGTCATGACACACATCAGATGAGGTCTTCCTCATCTACTCCATGCCAGTCGTTCTTGCAACCTGTACCTATTGAGCCTCTACTGTGTCCTAGACAGGCACAGAGCCAGGCAGCAGAGATCACATGGACAAAACTGGGCCTGTTCCTTGCCCACTTGGAGCTTCATTCTAGATTAGATCTTGGTTTTGCAAAGCCAGATACACTTTGGATTTTCTCAAAACTTGAGAGTCTTAGATTTCAAAGGGGAATGAATGTACTTGCACCTCTAGCAACCCAACAAAGGCTGAAGCTTTCAAAGTGCATTTGGTGTTCAAGATTTCACAGATTTCAAGACAGATAGCTTCTTCTTTTTTTTTCTTCTTTTTCTCTATATTTATTGGCATGAAAAGATGTCTACAATACATTCTTCTTTTAGACTTTTTATTGGAAAATATAACATACAGAAAAGTACACATAAAATACACAGCTCACTGATTTATCACAAAGCATACACCCCTGGGACCGCCACCCAGATGGAGAAATAGAATTCTGCTGGCACCCGTAAGCCTACTTTGTGACTTCTTGCAGTCATCACCATTGTTCCCCAGAGTGCCCACCACCCTGCTTTTAGAGCAGTCATGTCCTTGCTTTTTAAAAATAGTTTTACCACCCAAGCATTTGTTCTTAAGCACTATAGTTTACTTTTGCTTATTTTTTTACCTCTATATAAACAAAATCACATAGTATGCATTCTTTTCTGTCTAACTTATTTTGTGCAATATTATGTTGGTGAAATTCACTCATTTCATTGTACATAGCTATTTATCATTCATTTTCATTGCTGTGTCATAGTCTATACAGCTGGATTGTATAACTATACCAAAATGTATTTATTTATTTTTCTACTGATGGAGAATTGGGTTGATTTCAGGTTGGGGCTACTATAAATAAAGCTGTTCTGAACATGTATGTGTGTGTCCTTTTGGAACACATATGCACAATTTCTATTGGGTGTATACCTAGGCATAGAATTGCTTGATCATAGTATGTGAGAATATTTAGCTTTAGTAGGCAGTGACAAACTTCTGTCACCATAAGTTAGGTTATTTTGGCTTGTTCTTAAACTTCTTATAAATTGTTATTAATATTATACAGTATGTGCTATGCTATGTCTGGCTTCTTTTGCTCAACGTAATGCCTTTAAGATTCATTCAGTTAGTTGCATATATCAGAGGTTTGACTTTTTGTTTCTGAGTGTTATCTGTTGTACAAGCATTCAGTATAACAATAATTTACCAATTTATCCATTCTTCTGTTGGTAGACATTTTGGGTGTTTTCAGCTTTCGTAAGTACAGTTGCTGTGAACATTCTTGTTCGTGTCTTCGACATAAGCACTCAATTCCCTCGGTATACATCTAGTTGTGGAATTGCTGGATCATGCATATTTACTAGATACAAGAAGTAGTTTTCCAAAGTGGCTGAACCAATTTGCACTCCCACCAACTTCTTTTTTTTTTTTTTTTAAATGACATCCCTTGAGTCATAACTCCCACCAACTTCTAAGAGTGAAGCTGGTGAAGTTGCTTCACTTTCTCACTGACACTTGATACTGTGAGTATTTTTAATTTTAGTCCTTCCGGTGGTTGTATAATGGTATCTCGGTTTAGTTTTCATTAGCTTTTTTTCTTTGAGACAAAGTCTCACTCTGTTGCCCTGGCTAGAGTGAGTGCCGTGGCGTCAGCCTAGCTCACAGCAACCTCAAACTCCTGGGCTCAAGCGAGCTACTGCCTCAGCCTCCCGAGTAGCTGGGACTACAGGCATGCGCCACCATGCCCGGCTAATTTTTTCTATATATT